CTTCAGAATGAAATAATCCAGTAAGAAGGTATCGCCTCCCATCTTTCCAATTGTACAATTAATTTCTTTAAATTCAATATTTCAAATTAAATTTTTTGGAAAACGGTAGTTCAAGCTAAAAAATTTTATTTTACGTTCTCGATTTATTTTTTTTTTCCACAAAGAATCATAGCCTGGCCGCTGGTACATTTTATAGGATATCCTACATGCTCGTCGCTCGATATCGAAAACTACCGAAATTCGACGCGCTGATTAACCCCTCAACGCTCACGTTTCTCTCAAATTGACGTGTCAAGAATTATCAATTTCGTTTTCTTTTTTAATTACTTCCTAGGAGCGTAGAATTAAGTTTCCTATTATTTATAATGCCGTAGCTTACCTTTCTGCCATAGCAGAAAGAATAACGCAACGTGGAAAGTGATGGAAGAGAATTGAAAAAAAAAAAAATGCACTTATTGGACACCAGGGTTAATTCCTGTTCCCTATTTTGTCGGGTCTGTGCGTTGATTGTGGCGATTGACGAGCGTTCGACTGCCGCGAAATTAAATCTTGTTAACCGAAAGATGATCTAATTTAAAACGCGTGCGGTGACATGAGCGTGTCACGAGGGCTAGCAACCCGTGACAAAAGTTATTACACGCAGAGCGTGTAATGACGTTAAATGATTTACTGTTTGACAGTACATCTGATTAGGTTGCACGTAATAACCATCCTGCATAATCTGATTACACGTGCCTTCCTTTTCGGTGTGTGGCCGCGTGTTACACAATCCTTTCATTATGCACGCTCACAGCAGCGGTAACGTTTCCCGGTTCAGCGAAACCTAACACTTTCGATGGTAAATGTCGTTGATGGTGGATCTTCCACGTTCTCGAAGGGAATAACCGGAAGCCATGATTTGTCAGCTCGTCAAATTATATCCAGACAGCCAAACATTCGATGCTCGATGTCTGTCTGACTGTTCGCTCTCACACAATGCGCGAAGCCTAATCATAATTTACACTCCATTCGCCAACGTGATTTTATGGTAGTGTTAACAATTATGATAAAAGTGAGTTCGAATGATTAACAATAAATACGTTCTGCAAGCTCCAATGTTCAAGTTCAGGTACAAGTATGTTCAAGTGCCGTTCAGGATTTTTAAGGCGGTACACAACTGTGATACGTCTAAAAACAGGATAAAATTCGGGAACTTTTTTCATAAGTAATTACTAAAAAAAAGCTTCAATTTTTTTTAGAAGCTATATTCTTTCGCTAATAAATGTTACAAAATGCGGGAGAGGTCATGAAACTTTAATGTAACAAAGTCAGAAATAGTTGACTTACTATTCACCTCTAGATTTACATTGCTACTCTCAAAACATGTGAAATTTTTATTTGGGAATTGAAGGTTCCTTACCTTAATGCCTACATATGATTTAAATGTATACTTATCCACTTGTTTATGTTTTACAAGTCTCTAAGGACAAACATCAAGTGTTGTAACAAATTATTACATATAGAAAATGTTGAAGTGGCAAAAATTATGTCTTACTTATAAATACAAAATTGTGACTACATCGTTTCTCGATATCTCGTTAAAAAAATGATTAAAAATGATGTATATTCACATCGTTTACATAAAAATTTCTTTACCATTTCCTTATCATTCTCTTTCATAATTTTCTCAAACTATGACACCCTCCATTTCCTGCAAATTGACTTTAAAACTGATTATCCGTCAAGGAACTGCTTTTCCTCGAACATCTACGAAGAAACACTTTCCATTAGCAACAGAATTTGATTGGATATCAATTGAACGGAAGGAAGGCACCGATTAATTACTACTTGCTACACTGTTCAATTATTTTACGAGCACTCGAGTAATTGTCACCGCAACCATATTGTAAATTCACATTACGATGTGCTGTAATGCCTCAGCTTCCGTATTTATCGAATAAACCTCTCCAGAGCTGTTTCATCCCGCGTCGAAGTGCTTTATCAGTGAGAAAAAGACAATGGTCGCGGTTGAAAAGATGAAGCAAGCATAATATTATCTTTGGAAACGGGCTGATATTCTACCGTGTTTTTGCTCGCAAAAGGGAGAGAGTGCGACGAGGAGATGTGAAGTAAGAGAGAACTGTGCTGTCGACGACTTGAGACCACTTTGGTTTTAATACTACGACGTTAAAACTTTATCTTCTTTTTTTTCCTTCCCCGATGACTCGAATTCACGGGGTAGTTCTGACGTTCCAACTTGCGGTTAAAGAACTCGACGTGAAACCGATGGAACAATCGAGGAGGACGTTAATTAAAGGACCACCTAATTGCTCTCGGTCGAAATACTCTCGGGCTAAAGTATTTTCTTTTTTACAACGAAAGCATAGTTTATTCTAGGAGTAAGGTGTTATCTCACGGAGTAATAGTTAAGAATAGGAACGTTTTTATTTCACGTGACACTGCTGGTGCAATTTAAGGGGATACACCACCCTGAGGCGTTTAAGAAGGGAATCCGAATTGGCGGATGGAAAAAATCGATATTTTTATGTTTTGAGAATATGTTCCCGAAGTGTTAGATCGGAATTCGAAGAATTAACAGAGCTGTAACCTGTTGGAACACAGCGTGTCATACATGTCTTATAAATAAGTACTGTATGTATAACGCAGAAAATTTTAAACGCGTTTTTCTCGAAACCACTTTTTTCCAAACCTGTGTGCAGCATAATTCAAAAAGTATTTAACCGATTTCTTTTTCTTCCTTTGCAAGAATTTATATAAACATCTCCTCCAGAGGGCTAACTACTAAAAATAATGAAATTGTTTAGGTTGCTGTGTTTAATTGCACAATGAAATGAAAAATTACGGCGAAAATCGAAATTTTTTGTTCAAACTGCCGCTACTTTGTCAATTTTTCAGTTATTTTCATATACTGAGGTTTGTTCTCTGCACAGTTTCCTAAAGAACAGTTTCTTTGATTTTTTTGTCTCAGATGAATGGAACAACCCCTATGCTGCACGCCTCACGACACGGCCTCACAAATGTTTGAATAACTTCTTGAATAAACTTTCAATTTTGCTCGCTGACCATTCCTTCTTTAGTCCATATGAATAAAAAACTACCCTAAAAATTTCAAAAGAATCCACCGCATAGTTTCCACAGAAAACACTAATAAACTTTCATGCAAATTAGTCCTCATCGATTGGGGTTTCCCTCTTAGATATAGATAAAGTTTGAGAATTTTTTTCGCAGGTAACTAGTAAATGAAAAGTTTCAATTTTTTCAGAGGATATAAACGTAACTTTCAGCTTCTTTCTCCAATTTTTAAAAAGTATAAATGTTACCAAAAATGGCGGAGTTATTCCCTAATTGTGAAACCGCTTTTGCTAGAGCATCGATTGCTGGCCGCCATCGCTGCGACAGCAAAGATTCGAATGTCAGAAAGAAAATTCTATTTAATTTATTAATACAGATGTATTACCTACAATGTAGCCTACAATTTTTCCAAAATTATAATTATTGTAGAAATGGTGGCAGTTTGAAGCACAAAAACCTCTTTTTACCCGTGAAAATCAGCTTTTAAACGATTTTAAAAAATTAAATACCTGACGTATCGAAAACATCGTAAGCTACATTATAGGTAATACATTATTATTTATAAATTATAAATAATGTTTTATTATCGATATGTAAATTATTTAATTTTTTAGAAACGTTTGAAGTTGATTCTTCTTTGGTAAAAAGAGCTTCTTCCTCTTTAAACTGTCACCATTCCCATAATAATTAAAATTTTTGAAAAATCGTAAGTGACATTATGCGTAACATATTTTTATTTATAAATCACAAAGAATTTTTCATTTACCCCCGTACTTTGAGTAATCTCGTCGTGATATCTCGTTTTTTCGTTTCCTCGTACAGGTACATGGTGGATGAGGATATGGATGACACAGTCGAGGATGTAGTGATTTCTTGTGCAAACATAAAGCACCAGTGTGGAATAAAGTTTTCTGATGTGTGCCTTCATTTTCGAGAAACTCAAGTACCAACGATTACTTTTTTTCTGAATATATGCAGGAATAACGTAAACATTTCAAATTATGAGATAGAACAACAAATGCATATTTGAACTGAGAAATGTCATTCAAATTATGCAGGAATTATAATTTTATTTCACATAAGAACTTGAAATTCACTCCATCTCCATTTTTGCATTAATCATTTCAAACTAGAGTTTTATGTTTATTTCGTTTATAACGTCTCTTGAACGAAAATTAAAATGAAACCTTACGTGACAGCACAAAATCATACATTTATTTCTGTTAAAATATTTTAGTTTAAAAAAAATTGTACGGAGTTACGTATACATTATGATACATTAATTTTAAACTAAGAACTTGTATACCACATCTGCTTCGATTAATATTATAGTATACTGTGGTAACAAAAAAATATGACGAAGCATTCCGACAGCTAAATGTGTCAAACAATTTTTAACAAAATATTAAAATACTGCAAATGTAAACCTAGAAATCGTCGATTTGTATAAAAAAAATATTTCTATTATTTCACATGCATTGATTTTGTCCCTTTTCTATCAATCTCAATATTTCAGCAACAAACGTACAATATCTTCACCCAATTATAAATGCTCCATTCTACGTGACGGCATAATTAAAAGCCCCGTAAACTTAAACAACAAACGGTAAAAGAATTTCCACGTCGCGTTTGCAAATCATCCGACAAGAAAAATGAAGGTCATCGTCCAGGAGAAATAATATTCTCTAAGAAGAAGAAGAAAAAAAGGAAACAGTAGGATGATATTTAACGCTGGAGAATACTAGCAGCTGAATTACACCGGCAGAAAATTAGAATGCCTGGGTAAACAATGCGCGTCGCGGGATGACAGACGCCGTGAAATTACGTGGCTTCCATATTTTGCACCTGTGCCCGCGTTTGCGTTCCCTGTTGGAGTTTGATGAGCACGTCTTTGCCCTCTCTGACACGCCAAAGATGGAATCACTTACCCTCGGCTCATCCCTTAACGTCTTGTGATGTGACTCGCTGCTAGAGAGGGATCTCTTGTGAAGTCGTTTGTCAGCGAACAGGAAGTATTCCTTCAGTGCTCCAATCTGCAAACAAACGGGACAGTCCCTGTTAGTCTTGCTGTCGTTTCAAGGATTAACAATTTTCCTGTGGTTTCGAGTGGTTCATTCGAACGCAATTCCTCGATTTCGCTGAAATTTCTGGCTGGTTTGATTTTGTTGTTTTCGGCGTGCATTGTTGTACAGAAGTTAAGAGGCAGAGTTAACTTTATTTCAGTTTTACTCGGAATTTTTAACAAGCAAGCCAATGCCGTATTAAAAGAAATAAGTTTAAAGCTGCGTCTACGCTATATCGCCCCCCTTATGCCAATACCACGAATGTGCGATTCGATAAATTATGAAAATTCACAACTAAATGCAAAATTAATTTTAAATCGTTCATTTAATGCCTCTCTTAATTCGATCACCCACTGTGTGTACTTGGCAATTTTATTTATTAAAATACTATCAAAATTAATTTAACGTAACGATTTCATTGAATGATATACATGCATATTTGTTCATTAAGGGTTTTTACAATATGTTTATAATGTTCTACGAAATATTGTGCCACCTACTGCCAATTCAAGTTCCCACAATTCTCCACGTGGTTGTCATAGTGCAGTCAAAATACAGACTCATCTCTGAGACGAGTGCTCCGTAAGTAGTTAACCCTCTATACCAGGGGTCGGGAATCTTTCGGAGCCGGAGAGCCATTTCAACAAAATAACGTACAAAAAATAAAATTTAGGACGCCGCAATTTTAATTTAAGAATCGCGTCGAAACATTTACTTTACCGACGCATTATAGTTATTCTTTGGGGGGTAACTGTCGGTTCTGTGGTGGCAACAGCAAATTTTTATTGAACATTTAAGAGCCGCAGGTTCTCTGCTCTATACCTACTCTATAAGGTCGTGTAACTTGGAAGTTACGTTTTCATTTACCTATATTTTGTCTAGTCCTATACTATCGCATTATTACCAAAATATTTCTTTATAATAATTATTAATTCTTGCTCCTCCCGTTCGAAATGTAAAATTGTAATCTTTCTTTTCACGAACGAAGAAAAGTCTATCTAGTGTTATATAGGGTTAAGTGTTAATACGAATTTCAATTGGAACAAATTACAAGTAGGACTTCAAAAAAATTCATCCGTAAACAGATTAACACAGATGTTCCTTCCATCTCCAACATTTACCCTCGCTGTAATCTTTCTTCATTCAACGAAAAACCGCATAGTTGATCATTTCTGGCGCGAAAGGTACTTAAAACATCGCAGCAGCCGAATAAGCTTGCCGCTTATTCGAATCGATTCGAAATATATCACGATGTCGATAGTACTTCTGCCACCTCATTAGGTCTGAATGGTCTTTAAAGAAGCTCTCGAGACAACCACGACGAAAATCCACGCCGCCTGATGACACCTCGATAATGTATGCAAGCTTCGCGACGTAATACGTCAGTTAAATTTTCTACCGAGAAGTTTCCTCGCATCTGCGGTCTCTGTTGCTTATGTACCATTACGTGAACGCTCATGTGTACGTTGGATTCCGAGATGCAACATTACGCTTCCTCTCTGGATGTCAAACGACGCTTACGAAACGGACGAACCTTCTTCAAGGAGAATCTGCAATTTCCATCGATCGATCGCTTGAAATGTATTACTCAGTGAAGAGTACAGGATGGTTTAGGAATTTTTCGGTTGGAAACGATTCCAGGAATTCGATCTTTAATGCTTCAAGAACGCAGAGATATTTGTCAAGGGTTATAAGATTAGCATTTTACGGGGTTAAAGGAATCGTTTTAGAGCAAGTTGCACATTTAGTATGTCGGAGTTTTTTCCTTTATTCGAATGAATTTTGTTCGGAGAGGATTTAAACCTAGTTAATGTCGCGATAAAAAGACGGAAGATGCTTTTTGACAGTGATATCTTTCCGGCAGAGTTGTTTCTTGGTTTCAGAAGAAAGTGAAAGAGCTCAACAGTATTTGCCGAAGGTCTAGAGGCATATTGCAAGAAAGGAAGCACCAAATGCCTCAAATGTCAATAAAAAATATGCTATACGCAATGAAAGTATAGACTGTGATACGTACGAAGACGAAAATATGACAAAAGAATTGAAGGGACAGAGGGAAAAATGAGAAAATCATTCATTCTTGTTGCAAACTTGAAGGATAATTTAGAGTGTTTTGTTAGGTTTTCTGTAGAAACGGTTTATGGCACGATCGACCGAGAACGGTTATTTTTGAGTTGAGGATTTTCGTTTATTGCTTGCACAGGTCTAATTACATCCTGCGAGGGTCACTAGAATTGCTTTGCTAGATTTTTAGTAATTTGTGTCCCTCGCGCTCAATAGCCTACGAACATACCATAAACCACGAATTTCACATCTGTATGTAACGGTCCGCTTGCCGATTAGTCACCCGGAGGAAATTCCAGATTTTTGGGACCTTCCGCCCACCCCTCGCGACCGTCTCCCACCCTTCCAAGGTGACAGCGCGCTAAGGGCGCACTGGAAGGGCGGTAAAGACGATATTAGACACGCTGATTGGCAAAGGCAATCATTAACCATTAACCAATCAGCGTGTCCCAACGAAAATCCCTCTCACGGTCGTCCGAGACGCGACGTCGGAGAGTGGAGTCGTCGAGTAGTCGTTCAACCACCACGAACAAGGAGAACCAAGGAGCAACCAGCTCACATCACGCGATACCATAGATCAGTTTTTACAAGTCCCAATCATTTGGGTGGTCCTTCGAACCAGTATCTAGACGGCACCACATCGTGCAAACATCCACAAAGCTCGAATGTGTTTTCACCCTGAAGAGCCAAAAAATAGCAAAAATTCAATTGCGTGATACTCCTTTTGACGTCCTCTACAAACTTGTAAAATTTTTAAGAAATCGGAATTATCGGGTTATCGAAGTTCCTATGTTAATTGAAATTTAAATGATAATTTCTCACAAGGTGTGTTCACCAAAGTGCTCATTGCGTTTCTTAATGGATCCTAATGGTACGTTTAAAATACCCCGAGGTTTATTTGTGATTTCCGCTAGGAACCGACCAAAGAATACCACCAGAAAGGGAAAAGAGCACTTTAGAACGTATACCCGTTTTCCTTTCACCGGTGACTTGATAACTCGATATTATTGACCGCTTTCGGACCAAAAGACAACAATGAGAATGTCCTGTATCAACATTGGTATCTCTCGACAAGTGTCTATCTTGTCTGGAACGCGGTTGGCCGACGACATCCCACCTTTAAGTTCCAAGTTCGAGTGGCTTCTTTGAAGTGTGCCATATTTGCTCGAATGGTAACATCCACTCGTACATCGTGTATCGGGGTGGCTCTATTGAAGAGCCATCGAGGGTCTAGTTTGACTACGAATTAGCCGATCGTCAAAGTATAGAATCATTCGTTCCCTTTGTATGAAATGCCCCATTTATTCCGTATACATTATACGTACATATGTATTTATGTAGTTTGTACCGTAGAAAATTGCCATTCCTTCAGGTCGAAATAAACACGTGATATTTGTTTATTTGTCTTTTTTATTTCTATAAATATTTATTTTTCATAGCAAAAATTAAATTCCTTGAGATTTCTTTACAAATTTTCTAGGTGTTCCATATTAGGCACCACTTTTTGACTTCAAGACACTTAAACTTTTGCACAGTTAACTATTAACATACGAATATCAATTTTAACCCTAGTTTCATTAAAAAAAAGCATGCCTCTATGTTTAGCAAGTGTTTAAAGTCAGGTGTTCCATATTAGGTGCACTTACCCTATATTTTGACCTAATGCAGTTGCACTATAGCCTAATTTAAATTGATATAGAAGAAGTGTTTTAAATTTTTTGAAAGACATCATACTGTGTGCTTACGAAAAAGAATTTAGTAAAGAAAAGGAACAGAAGAGCACAGTATTGGAATAACTTTTACGTAGTACAAGTAAAAATATAAGTTACCCAGAATTTACGAATCACGTTTGATTGTCAATTATTCTTACATCGGTTATTTCATGAGATACAACCTAATGTAACCACCTCAATTATTTTCGTTATTATTAGACCGATCAAAAATTGTTTTGAATTAATTTAAATTAATTAATTAAATTATTTTCGCTGTTGTAAAAGACACGAGAAGAAAAGTGAGGAGGAACTGTATTCGAAAATTCGATGGAAAAGATAATTATTTTCCAAAAATTTCTATTTTTCATCTGGTACACTAACCAAGTTTGCTTATTTTAGTAATAGGGCTAATACGTTCTTTAAAGTCAAGAAGATGACATAAACATTATTCTTTCCCATCTTCAATAACAGCAAAAATAAGTTAGACGTTAATATTTATTAAGCAGCACAGCCTGTATTCTTCGAACAGCAACTATTTTCGATAACTAACAAGTCTGACAATTATTAATTTGTGGATTACGCTTCGTCTAGTACACCGCCTCGAATCTAACAGTGGGGTTTGCGTTATCGACCGATCACCAGCTCGACTGTTAATCAACGTTCTGTCTCTCTGAAAATGAATATTTCTTTTTCAATTCGAAGAAATCTTACTCTACATATTCACTCTTCTAATTTTCCAATTCATGTTATAGCAATTGTATCATTCAAAATGTTACCTTATGTAATCTTATGTAAGTGTAACTGTCTGGAAAGTTAAAACCTAATTTGAAATATTTTTTTTTTCTCTAATTTTAATATTTCTTTTTCCAATTCACTCTTCGAATTTTCAAATCTATATTATATTACTTATATCGTTCAAGATGTTGCACGTGATCTTACGAACGTGTAACTGTTCGCTCGATGAAATTCTTCTGTATTTACTTAAGTCGAACACTTTTTGCCGGACCTGAAAAATTCATCTAGAATTTTCAAAGATACGCGACCGAAGTTTTCGAAATTTTAAGCCCCCTGTTCATTCTTGATAGCAGCTGATGCGTGTATGCATGAATTTATGTGAAAAAAACTCTGGACAGATCCAGACGCTGACGAAGTTTTTCTAAAAATGGTGACGCATGCTGTTGCATACCCATACACTGCTGCAAGTTATCCATCAATATTCTGTCAAGGTTCACTACGCTGCATCAACTTTATCTCTAGGATTTTTTATCTTCAGATTATAAAAATATTTCTACTGGCATCATAAATATGACTGCAATTCTTTTACGAGCAAGCAGCAGTTGTTTGAAAAATCCACGATGTTCTGGTAGGTTGTATATTTTCGAAACACTATGTTTCAACTAATATTCTGTGTTTTTGTAACAGGTAGATCTTTATGTAAGGATAATCGATGTTTCACTTTTGAACAACAAATTATTTAGAATACATATGCAAAGATCGGACTAAAATTCTGCACGGCATTGATAGCGATCTTGAAAGTAGAATCGTGAAATTAACATAAATTTAAAATTAGAACAGCTACCTTTATGCGAGAAAGATCATAATTCAAATTTATACGTCGTATGAAAAAATTAAATGTACTTCAACTGTAATGCACATACGTTTGAACTGTAAGCGCAGAAATGTCACATCCACGTGAATTATCATTTTACAAAAAAATATTTGTCTTTTGTACATTTTCTTTAATTATATTTTGTAGCATTGAATACACATGTTTGTTCCATTTACATTTTTTTTAAATTAAAATAAATCAAAATAAAAATATTATTATTAATTAATTAACCTATAAGAATCGTTACGCTTTGATCACAGCCGATTGTACGATTCTGGGCTCGAATGAGATGAATTTAATTTGATTTATTATTTCAGTTCCAAGATACACAAAGCTGCATTTAAATTTTGGAATTTTAAAATCAAATATAAACGTTATTTGCTCTTCAGTTTTATTATATGTACAAACATATTAGAAATCAGTGGTCGACTAGAAATCAGAGCTGGCAAACTTTATTTCAAACAACGAATAAAATCTCAGGATTTATTCGTGAATAACGAATAATGATTTTTTTTCGGAGAAAAATTATTCGTTATTCACGAATAAATCTGCAGCGTTATTCGTCATCAGAAATAACTCCACGATCAGAGTTGAGCATTATTCGAATGAAATTTTATTGGAATAAAATTTCGAATAAATCTTTCGAATGAAATTTTATTCGAACAAATTTTTCCAATGAAATTTGATTCCAATATTTCTAGCAGAAATAGACCATCCTAATATACCATATTCGTCTTACTTCCGATTATGATTGCATTACGAAGAAAATCCAGCATTCTGTTAAAAAAAAAAACAATGCTATCAACATTATTAAAATAAAAAAAAAATAACTTGAAAAATAGCTGCTGGTGTATCGTATTTCCTTCTCGCAACCGTCTACCTCTCACTGATAGGTACATTTCTACATAACACGAACAACGTAGATGATAACACATTTCTAGAGGACTACCTTGTACAAAGTATACAACAAAAATTTTCAACTCACTTATACATATAGAGCCAAGCATTTCTACCTCGACAAAACAGGAAACAAACTTTCACCATTCTATCAGACATATTATTCCGCTCGAAACAGCCCATTTAGAGGGTCATCGAGCAAAAAAGCATCGTCTTGACAATTTCAACTTTTAACCCAAACCTGTTCACCGCGTTTTTCCCCGTCCTTCTCGCAGGATACGTAGTAACGGTGCTTCCGTGGATGGCGCGCGATCAGAAGAGCAGAACTGTCGGACTGTCGGAAATCACGAAAGAAATATGACAGTACTGACATCTATCAAAGAAGCTCTGGACAGTTTGCAAGCCCCTCGTTCCTCTTTTCGATACTTCCCGTGCAGTTCGAGCAGGCTAGGTTGTAGACGATTCCGACACTGTTCTTGGCCAGTTTCTGGACGAAGTCGTTACGGTTTTTCGCCGGGCCAGCAGGACTCAATCGATCCGCGGCTGGATGGGCATAAAAAACTCGAGAGGGAACGGCACGGCGTGGCGTGGCGCACAAGTTGTGTTGTTGGCTTGATTTCCCAACGTGCACGGAAATCCATTTCACGAGCGGGCAGAGAAGCGGCTTTGAGAAACGCCGATATTGTTTTCTTGGCGGTCGGCGCGCTGATTTAAAGCGCTTCGCTGCCGGGCTTTCATCGAATCTCTGGATCCTGCCTGTGGCTTCGCGGTGGCGAGCTGCGTCGACTCTATGACCGTCTACGCTTCAACGATCGGGTAATCCTAAACGGATATTCCTGCCAACCGGAAGACACAGCGTGCAGGAGTAGAAAAAAAGGAGGGTAGAGGACCCGTGAAATTTGTGGAGAGATAATTGCGCGGATAGTTTGGATATGTGGATGTCAGGTGATAAACGCGACCGAGCTGCTCTACCCAAAACAAATCGTACTTGTTTTCACTACAAGTTCAAATTTCTAGAGGAGGCTTACGTTGAAAAATCTAACCTGCGAGGACTGAATTACATTCGGTAACGTCTAAATAACAAAAGACATACGATTTCACCATCAGAACTCGCCAACATTGAAGGTGATACCTTCTGGCAGGAATTAAGCTTACTACCTAATACAATTAGTCATGTAACTAAGGGTCACAGCAACCCTTACCCCACCAAACAGACTATGATTCTGTAGTTAAGTTTAAGCTTTCGGCAAAACAGTTTGATGGTTAAAATTTGACTCTTCGTTTATTTAGACTACTACTTGTGGTAAGTCCAACGTGTTTTTTTCTACACTTAGAACGTAAGAGTGCTGAAAATAGCGATACTCTTCTGTTCCCCTACGGAGGGTTAAGTCTCTATGTAGACGGAACTAAAATTCCTGCAAAAATGCAGCCAAAGGTAGAACTGCAAATGCGTGCAAGAAACAGAATCAAATTCCACAGAAAGGCGACAGGGTGGTATGGAAAGAGGATGAATGGGGGTAGAGGCAGTGGCAATTTATCACTGGACGTTGAAACAGGGTTAGCGGCGTTACATTCACGTGTGCCCGTGTATGAAACAGAACCTTATACGCGTGGAACAAGTCCCAGCTAGTGAAGGCCGAGTATAGGCAGCGAACCAGATAACGGGTAAGTTACCACAGCAACTAGAAAGGGAAGCCACTAAATCAAACCAGCCAAGAATGCCTTACGATAACCTCCGCATACCGCGGGTCATCGGTCTGTTGGTTAGCGGGTGTCCTTCGTTGGGACACTTTGGCCGTGCTATCGTCCTTGGACAGCGGCGAATTAAGGTAATACGAGGGCCTGTGAAGCACCGAAGTTTAAGGGTTGCGGATGGCAATGGAATTTGCGTTAAGCACTGTACACTTAAGACCGCCGTCAGAAAGCAGCGCTTAGATGGCTTCGGCGAAATTCATGGAAAAGCGACGCCACTTTAATCCCCGTGAACAGTTAAAATAATTGCTAGAATAGAGCTGTTCGGGTTAAATTGACTCGTAACGGAAAAATATTATAATACTTAAATAAATCTGAGCTCCATTCGTAATAAGTTTAAAATAAAAATAAGTTAAAAATTAACATAATATGCTTGTATAAAGAACAAATGATTCTTTTATGCTTTGCTTTTATCCTGGAAATTGTGAATATAAACGAAGGCTGTAAAAGAGGAAGGGGTAGTCAACAGGGACACAAGCCAGCTCATTCGCGAAAACCCTCGACGACGCATGAGACCCACCGATGTGTCGATCATTTTTAATCGGAAATACACAGAACTAGTGTGTATGGTGGGAGAGAAAGAAGACAAAGGAAGAACTTTTCTTTGCAGATAAAGTTAGTGTTAGATAGAGTCGTCAGAGTATTGTGGAAGGACTCACTGTTAGATAGGTCGTCAGTGTGTTGTAGATAGAGTCAGTGTTAAATAGAATCAGAATGTTGTAGATAGAGGCAGAGTGTTAGAGTCGTTAGAGCGTTGTAGAAAAAGTTACTGTTACATAGAGTCGTCAGAATATTGTAGATAGAGTCGTTAGAGTGTTGCAGATAGAGTCAGAGTGTTAGATAGAGTCGTCAGAGTATTGTGGAAAGACTCACTGTTAGATAGAGTCGTCAGAGATTTGTAGATAGAGTCACAGTGTTAAGTAGAGTCGTTAGAAAATTGAGGGTGAAGTGTCGAAGACAGATTATTGCAGACACTGCAGTATAAATCGTTTAAGAGCTGTCTGAATTGTGTCAGAATTGCATAACAGTTGCCTTAGCGTTACAAATTGCGTCGAATCATTGTTACATTCACTTATCATATTCTGTCAATTGTCATTACCATAAAGCACCATTATAAACTATTATATGAAGCATACTTAACAATACAGATTCCACAGTATTGCTAGAAATTTCAATACTTTGTCAAATAAATGCAAACCAGTTGTATTGACTGCTTTGATGGCTCTAATACCAATCTAATTCTTCAAGTCTTAATTGCCATTTATCATGCAATTTTCCATCGAAGTTGTTACCAATATACGAAACCGTACAGTTTAAACAAAATATCTTCAAATAGCAGAATATATGTACGTTTAATTTTCAACACCGACGAGATAGCAACTTCGTCATCGGGTTGAATCGAACGCAAAACCGTGAAAGCTCCGCGATCACCGATTTCTCTGTCCACGATGCTGAACACGTAGCGACGACATCATGGCCTCACCCTCTTCGCCAAACGGATATAGGCAACGGATGCCGAACAGCCACGTTTCTCCTACCACGCTGACACGATACATACATGGAGAAACGGGAACCGAGAGCTGACTGGCGAGAATAAAATCGCGCCGCTGCGTTCATCGCAACCGAACTACCCTCCGTTCCTCTTTTGTTTAGGAATTTTCTAACAACGGCCTTATAATACGAATGCCTAGAATTCAGTTTTACTCATTCAACCGTTTCGAAGGAGATCAATTCCACTGTTAAATACACATTTAGAGCTGTATAGTTCCAATCTTTTGTTTCACTATACGCA